TTTCTACCTCAGCCTGACTGTCCCTGGCCCACCCCTTTCATTCTTTGGATTTCATTTTTTTAATCATGAGGACTCGGCATCACATGTGGGTGTTACCTAGGATGGTATACATGCAAATACAGCCTAGGAACGCCCACTTCTCCAGACTAGCGCCCGCCCATCAAGGCATTTTGATATTTGCATAACTCCTCCCAAGAGCCGGCCCACTGTTTGTATCTGGGCTGAGGACTCTTGAGAAGAGTGCTGAGGCAGGGTGCTGTGATGTTTTCAGGAAGCTATGGCCCCTCCTACCAGCTATGATGGGAGGAATTTAGGGCCCACCTTATTTCCTGGCTGTAGGACATCCAGAATCATCTAGCTCTTTCCACCTAAGCCTGACTGTCCCTGGCCCACCCCTTTCATTCATTGGATTTCAGATCACATGTGGGAAGTCTTCATGCAAATGCAGCCTGACTAGGAATGACCACTTCTCCACATTTGACATCAAGGCATTTTTACATAACTCTTCCCAATAGCCAGCCGACAGCTTGCATCAGGACCTGGGACTCTTATGAGTAGTACTGAGGCAGGGTGCTATGATGTTTTCAGGACTCTTTGTACAGCACCTGCTGGCCCCTCCCCCTAGCCATGATCTGCCTGCATTGTATAGAGAAGCACAGAGACCCAGTGATATCAATAGGTCTAAAATAAAGTATGTAACTCACAACCTCATCTATCATGGTCTCTGGATCTGCTGACAGGCAGTATTCACATCTGTTATATTGTTTCTCCTCAGCGCAGTGTGCAGTGCCCTAGTTTGGTGACATGTCTGCTTTAAGTTACATTTTGCTGACTTCAGAGTTCCCCTCCCCCCCTTTGCTCCTCTGCATTCTGGGCTTGCAGGACAGGTTGGTCTGGTCCGTGCCCATGAACTATACAGTGATTTCCTCTAACAGATGATGGTCTGTGTGACATGTGTTGACAGCAGAAGAAAGGGTAAGAAAGATGGATACTGTTGAGTTTGACTTGTGGATCAAACGGCTGGTTGAACAAGGTGGAGTACAAGGCAGTGACGATGAAGACATCTAGTATCGGTTTACTATAGTGGAGGCATTTAAAGTGAAAACTGTCAGATTGGAAAAAGGATGGCAGTGTAGTAAAGCTGACTTAACCAATGCCCAATTATCTGGCATATTCATGCTGTAATCGCTGAGTAATCAGCAGTGGAAACAAGCGGTTTTAGCACCTTCTGAACCCCAGACAGATATAAAATGACAGACATGAATGCAGCCCTGTAATCATTACTACCTCATTATATGTATTTTATTAGTGTAAACAGTGTAAGTGTCTACAGGTGACCTGGTATCAGCCTCTTGCAGTCCCTGTACAGCTGGGCTGGAGTGTGAGAGGAAGAAGCAACACAAGAAGCCGATCCGTTCATGTGCTGACAAGCAGCATGGTGATAGGAGGAGAGAGAGCAGAGGGAAAGATGAGCCTATCGCTGTGCTACTTCTCCATTCATTGTCCAGTCACAGGCTGAGGGCAGGTCATGGATGACGTGGGCTCAGAGAAAGTGGGTTGAATGATTTTGGACATCAGACTATTGGCAGAAAAAAAGTACTGCAGGGGAAATCCCTGAATTAAAGGTGAATATTGCAGCAGAAGATGTTGGTTTTTTTTTTTAATTTTATCTTTTCTTGGGCAATTCGCGTTTTTTGGCTGGAGTTCTACTTAAATCCCATATTCAGGATACCCCCTCTCTACAGTCCTTTACGCTGGATATACAATATATAATCTTTTCCATTATATCAGCACTGCTGTCCGCATTATTACAAATACGTTACAGGTGCAGTGGTGATGCCCCTCGGGGGTGGGTCCATGACACCCTGCACTCCCATGGTTTCCTAAGTTAGAAGGCTGAAGCCATCTAGTGGCAGAAAGGAATTACTGCAGGGGACAATGCCAAAATGGAGGTGAGTATTGCAGCCAGAGTTCTTGTTTTGTTATTTAGACTGCTGGAGAAGCACTAAAAAAAAAAAAAAATTGGCTGAAATTGGACAGTACAATATCCTGTAGATTAGGGGTCTCCGATTTTTCTAGACAAAGGGCCAGTTTACTGTTCTTCATACTTTAGGGGGGGCCGGACTGTGGGCATTGGGAGTAGAAAATGTCCCAATATCAATGGATAAAAACAATACCCCATCTTTAGTGTCAGTGGGAGGAATTGTGTCCCATCAGTGGTGTCATTGAGCCCAATTGTAGGTGTCATTGGGCCTCATTGTCGGTGTCAGAGGGAGAAATTGGGCCCCATCATTGGCGTCATTGGGAAGAAATCTGCCCCATCAGTGTGTCAGTGAGGGGGGGGGGGTATGCCCCATCATTGGTGTCAGTAGGCCACACTGTTGGTGTCATTGGAAGAAATTATGCCCCATCATTGGCGTCATTGGGAGGAATAGTGTCCCATCATTGGCTGCATTTGTGGAGGGGGGATTATGCCCCATCATTGGTGTCAGTGGGCCCCATTGTTATTGTTGTCATTGGGGGAAATTGTGCCCCATTGTTGGTGTTATTGGGAGGAAATGTACCCCATCATTGTTTCAGTGGGGGGGGGGGGGGGTATGCCCCATCATTGGTGTCAGTAGGCCACATTGTTGGTGTCATTGGAAGAAAATATGCCCCATCATTGGCGTCCTTGGGAATAATAGTGTCTCATCGTTGGCGTCAGTGGGCCCCATTGTTGTCATTGGGAGGAATTGTGTCCCATTGTTGGTGTCATTGGGAGGAATTGTGACCCATTGTTGTCATATGCAGGAATTTTGCCCCATCATTGGTGTCAGTGGGGGGGAAGTATGCCCCATTATTGGTGTCAGTAGGCCCTATTGTTGGTGTCATTGGGAGAAATTATGCCCCATCGTTGGCATCAATGGAAGGAATATTCCCCTATTGTTGGTGTCATATGGAAGAATAGTGCCCCATCATAGATGTCAGTGGGAAGGAATTATGCCCCATCATTGGTGTCATTGGGCCCCATCGTTGGTGTCATGGGCAGGAATTGTGCCACATCATTGGTGTCAGTGGAGGGAATTTATGCCCCATTGTTGGTATCAATGGATGAAATAGTGCCCCAAAGGCCTGATAAAAGCAAACAAAGTCCACAGTTTGGAGACCACTGCCTTAGTTCTACCAACAATTGCATAGTACTATAGGACTGGCCTGATTGGATAAAAATGAATTGATTCTTTATGTCAGCCCTTGTATTATGTAACTGTTGAGTCATCTAAATGGAAATCTTGTTTTAGAAGATTATACAATCAGATTGTAAGGTGTATGGTCAGCTATAGATTCGGCATGGTCCCAAAGATTAAAATAATGGCAAAAAGGGCAAATGCTGAATCCCAACTCTGGAGCTGCTCATCCAATAGGACGAGGTTACTGTTGTGTTACACTATTTGATTTATTATTATTTCTCTGTGACCATCACTTGTTTATTATTGCTCTGTGTCTTTAACCTCTTGCCGTCCGCCTGTTGTTTATAAACGGCAGGGCGGTGGCAGTCCAGGGGCGGGTTGCCGTTCTTAAACGGCACCCGCATTTTCTAGCTGTGCGCGCTCCCTGGGAGCGCGCACCATCGCGATGCGGTGCCCGCTGTGTCCTCCGGACACAGTGAAACACCGATCGTCGGATGGGACCTCTGTACGAGGTCCCGATCATGTGATCACTGATTGGCGAATCAGTGATCACATGCAAAGTAGTAAGCAAGATGTCACTTGTGACATCATTGCTTACTACGTGTGAAATCTGTGAATGATCACAGAGGTCACATGGTACAAGGCTATTCACAACAGCCTTGTACCATGTGACAAGCTGTGACCAATCACAGCTCACTCAGTATTTCTCAATGACTGCAAGAATGCAGACAGAGAGAAAGAGAAATGATTGCTTTTACATCCTATATGGGTGTAAAAGCAATCAGTGTAAAAAAAAAAAAAATCTTCATCACCCCCCACAAGTAGTACAGTGTCACCATGGTGACACTGTACTGCTAGGGTGACAGTATGTAAAAAAAAATAAATAAATAAAAAATAATATAAAAAAAATAAAATAAAAATGTAAAAAAAAATGTTTAAAAAAACTGTATTTTTTGGCTATAAACTAATTTGGATTTTTTTTTTTACTAAAAAAATAACGGAATAAATTTTGGCCAACATTTATGATGAAATATTATTTATTTGCAAAATTTTATTTAAAAAAACACTTTTTTTCAAAATATTTAGACTTTTTCATTTACATTATAAAAAAAAAAAAAATCCCAGCGGTGAATAAATACTACCAAAATAAAGCTTTATCTGTCTCAAAAAAATGGTAAAAAATTCATATGGGTACAGTATTGCATGACCGCGCAATTGTCATTCAAAGTGTGATAGCGCTGAAAGCTGAAAATTGCCCTGGACAGGAAGGGGGTAAAAGTGTCCGGACAGGAAGTGGTTAAGCTGTCTCCTTCTGTCTAAGCTGAGCTCTTTCTCTCACCGGACTTGTGTATACTCCTCCCCCCTGCCTCTCTCTGTAATCATTCCACTGTATCCTGTCTTCCTGAATGCATCTTCCATGAAGCTACAACATTAACGTTTTTCTACCTATGAATATTCACCATTAAACGGAACATTCAAATGGTTTTCCTCATCTGACTTTCTCAACGTGAGTTTATTTATTGAGTTAAACTATCTGACCCAATGCAAGTGATAAATTCAACACCACGTGGTATAGCTGTATACATCGCTGGATATAAACTTTTTTTGTCCTGTTGTTGAGTCAGAATAGTTACGGAGACTATTTCTGTGCCATATTTTAACGTTCTACTGACTGTTTCTTTTGAATTTTTCCCTTAACTTTCTATGTTGCCAAGCCAGAGAAGGTGATTGGTTGCTGAGCACAAGAGAACGCTTTCCATACATGTAGCCCAATGTTCTTGGAGAGACATTAAATGCAATCTTGGAATTGTATCATTGGATTATTATTTTATTGAATTAATTAGAACAAAACATCTAGCTGATGATAATTTTATTTCCCTGCAGATCCTTGGAGCGGTGATCCTTGGTTTCGGAATATGGATCCTCGTGGACAAGACCAGCTTCATAGCTGTTCTACGTAAGTGTTCCGGTGTCTTTGTAGCATCAAAGCAATCAAAGTGTATGTTCACCTTAAAATGAATATCCAACCTTCTGCCGACCACACATCACACACATATATGCGGTGACCAGGAAGACCTGAAGTCCACGCACCGCACATAGGCATCCATGTGGACCAATGTTTCTGTGGGCAGTGACTCATGTGAATGTACTATATACAGCTGTGCTCAAAAATTTCCATCCCCTGGAATGTTTGGCCTTTGTACAGACAGGTGACACACACGGGTTAAAATTAAAGGTTAATTTCCCACATCTCTGGCTTTTTAAATTGCAATTAGTGTCTGTGTGTAAATAGTCAATGAGTTTATCTCTCAGGATGCACTGAGCAGGCTAGATAGTGAGCCATAGGGAGCAGAAAAGAACTGTTAAAAGGCCTGCATAACAAGGTAATGGAACTTTATAAAGATGGAAAATTATAGGATAAGATATCCAAAGCTTTGAATATGCCAGTCAGTACTGTTCAACCACTTATTAGGAAGTGGATTATTTAGGGATCTCTTGATACTAAGCCAAGGTCTGGTAGACCAAGAAAGATTGCAGCCACAACGGCCAAAAGAATTGTTCGGGGTACAAAGAAAAACCCGCAGGTAGCCTCTGGAGAAATACAGGCTGGTCTGGAAAAAGACAGTGTGGTTGTTTCTAGGAGGACAATACAACGATAATGGGCTGCATGATCGAGTTGCCAGAAAGAAGCCTTTACTGTGCCAATGCCACAAAAAAAGCCCGGTTACAATATGTCGGACAACACCTTGACATGCCTCATCCAGCTTTTTTTGTGGCATTGCCGCAGTAAAGGCTTCTTTCCGGCAACTCGACCATGCAGCTCATTTTTGTTCAAGTACCATTGTATTGTTCTCCTAGAAACAACCACACTATCTTTTTTTTCAGAGCAGCCTGTATTCTTCCTGAGGTTACCTGTGGGGGTTTTTCTTTGTATCCAAAACAATTCTTCTGGCAGTTTTTTGGTCTATCTGACCTTGGCTTGGTATCGAGAGACCCCCGAATTTTCCACTTCTTAATAAGTGTTTGAACAGTACTGGCTGGCATATTCAAAGCTTTGGATATCTTTTTATATCCTTTGCCATCTTTAAAAACTTCCATTACCTTGTTACACAGGTCGTTTGACATTTCTTTTCTGCTCCCCATGGCTCAGTGTCTAGCCTGCTCAGTTCACCCACGTGAGAGCTAACAAACTCATTGACTATTTATACACTGACACTAATTGCAATTTAAAAAGCCACAGATGTGGGAAATTAACCTTTAATTGCCATTTTAACCCGTGTGTGTCACCTTGTTTGTCTACCAAGGCCAAACATTCCAGGGGAGGGAAACTTTTGATCTGGGCCATTTGGGTGATTTCTGTTACTATGATTTTTAAAGGAGCCAAACAACTATGTGATAATATATGGCTTCATATGGTCACTACTCTTATATAAAAGATATTTTTTTGGCAGGATCAGTCAGATTTTCTATATCAATGCCAAAATTTCACGATTTCTGCCAGAGGATGCAAACCTTTGATCACAACTGTATATGTAAAGCGCTATGTAAATTGTTGGGGCCATGTAAGTACCTCAAATAAATAAAAAATAAAATAAAAATCTGCATCCTTCTTGAGCAATAGAGAGTCTTGTAACCTCTCTTAGCAGCCCCTGCTCCTTCCCTTGCTTCAGGTGTACCATTGAATTTGCCCCACATATGCCCATAGACCGATATGATAAAATCAGGAGCGGACTGACCATTTGGAAACTCGGGCACTGCCCGAGGGCCCGGGGTCAGTAGGGGGCCCCATGAGATTCCCCTGGTACCTTTTTCATAGGCTTTTTTGAGTTTGGGCAAGGACACAGGGGCCCCCTATGCCTGGGGGCCCCAGTTGTCAGTCCGCCCCTGGATAAAATATACACGAATTGCAATTGTTGCACCCAATGTCCTGCCCCCATGGCTCTGTGCCACGACTACTATACAGTCAGTTAGTCCTGAGTGTCATAGGGGACACTGCATGCTGCGGTTACTAAACTGAACATATGAAATAATGAGAACGCCGCATCTGCCATTGTGTGACAGCCCCACTCTGCGGACTAACAAAGAAAATCGTTTAGTGTCACTTCTGTTCCAGGATGTGAACATTTCACAAGAACGGTTCATCTGATGACCCTATTCTACCATCAGCCAGCCGTAATCTTCTTGTATCATGCATTTCCACCAAACGGTTATGACAGCGCTACACCGCGTGCATCATGTGAGAAACTGCTCAGCTGAACAATATAAAGGATATGTAAACTCAACATTTCCTGTTCCCGACATGAGCTTTGTATTGCTTTCTTTGTTTGAAATCCCTGGTGTTCCCGCCAGCCCCTCTGCTTTCCTATCAAAAACTGACCACACTAGGCATGAGAGCACAGCGTGGTCAGTTCTCTAGCCATGTAGAGAACTCGGCCTTTCCAATGATCAGATTTCTGCTGACACCCCCCCCTCCTGCACAGTAATTCACTGGGAAGGCCAATATGCTGCTGTTTCTCCTCCAGCTCTCTATGTAGCTGAGAACAGAGGGTATGTGCTCACTTTTTTCATCCTTTTTTATGTATTATATATATATATATATATATATATATATATATATATATATATATATATATATGTATGTGTTTTGCCCTTTCATTTCTATTTGAAACTGAATGGGTTCTGAGGGTTTACATATACTTTAACCGCTTCCCGACCCCCCCCCCCCCCCCCCCCCATAGTAGAACTAATGCTGCAGGGCTGCACAAAATCAAGTATATATGCGTGATTTTGTATCTTGGTTAGGGGGCACACATGCGCCCTACCTGCACCAAGATTGGCAGCTACAGGTGCCGATCACCGGGTCCCAGCCGGTGATTCCCCGCTGGCACCCAGAGATCGCTGAGTATCACTGATGGGGGAGAGGTCTGTATGTAAACAACACAGATCTCTCCCCTGTTAACTCCAGCACACTGCTTTGTATTGCTCTGCATAGCACAGCAATACAAAGCAGCGTGCTTACACAGTAAAACACACACACAGCACACAGTAAAACGCACACAGTTAACCCTTTGATCGCCCCAGATGTTAACCCCTTCCTGCCCAGTGTCATTAGTAGTGTTAGCATTGATAGTCACTGGAGATGTCAGTGAGAGTTATTCAGTTCCACCCAGTGTCAGAACGCCCACCACAGTCCTGCTATAAGTCGCTGATCGCCGCCATTACTAGTATAAAAAATAAATACAAATTCCAGTATCTATACCGCCATTTGTAGACGCTGTAACTTTCACGTAAACCAAATAATTTACACAGATTGGGATTTTGGTTTTTTTGCAGAACACATTTTGGCCTAAATTTATGACAAAATTAGATTTTTTTTTTTAATTTACTGGATGTTTTATAGTAAAACGCCAAAAATGTATAGATTTTTTTTTTTTTTTTTTTGTTTTAAATTGGTGATTACCACCGAAAGAAAGCTTCATTTGTTGGGAAAAAGGACATAAATTTCATTTGGGTTCAGCGTTGCATGACCGCACAATTGTCAGTTAAATTAACGCAGCAACGTATCACAGAAATGGCATGGTCAGGAAGGGGGGTAAATCCTCTGAAGGGCAAGTGGTTAAGTTGAACTCCAGGCACACATAAGGCAGCTCTTTATTAATTAATATATGCAAGCAGCCAAAACAGCTGAATATAACTGGCCATCGGCCTCTTGCTGCGCAGCTGAGCTCAGACTGGGGGAGGCAGAAGCCGCACAAGTAGCCAAGCACTAAGTTTTGCTGCATTGTAAGGAGCATACAGATAGGAGGAGAGAGCAGAGTGACAGAGAGAGATGAGCTACTTCTCCTTTCACTGTCCAGTCACAGGCTAGGGGAGGGATAAGACCTCTAAGTGTTAACAGAACTGCAGCAGTGAAAAATCCCCTCCCCTGCCCTGCATGGCAGAGCTGTGTAACTCGCAGGACTGGCTGAACAAAAATGCAAATCCTTTTTTGCAGGTAGAACAGCTGCCATATGACGGGTTTAGTTTGTGAATTCATAAATGTATCCAGCAGGGCGGCAGCGACGTTCACTTGATTGATTGCTTGTTCTCCGTTTACAGAGAGCTCGTCTCATTCGATAAATGTCGGCTCCTACATCCTGATCGCCATCGGAGGGGTGACAATGGTCATGGGATTCTTGGGCTGTGTCGGAGCTGTGAATGAAATCCGATGTCTCTTGGCACTGGTGAGTACGTTGTGGGGCTTGTACATTGGCACCAATATCGATTTTTCACATGGCCATGTTCTGGATCTGTTGTATCTCATATGATTAATGTCCCGTTCACAGCTCGCGATTTGGGATCGATGTGATTCTGCCTGCGATCCCAAAATGCATTTGGGTGCCATTAGCCTTCAATGGCACCCCAAACGCAATGCGATTCTGTTGTCACGTGGTAAACCACGCCTTTTACAAATCACTTGAAGCTTGTCGCCTGAAAAGGAACAGGAGCTTCTTTTTGAGAGACAAACTCGCATAGGGCAGCCTATTCAAGTGGATGGGCTGCCCTATGCGACTTGCAGAATTGCGTGAAAACTGCGACTTGCACTAAAATCGTGGCACAACACGCTTAGGGTACCATTTATTCTTAATGGCACCCCACTTTAGGAATGGACACGCATTGTGCTGTGCGATAAACGCTCACAGAAAAAAACGCACAACACGCCATGGCCCAAAAAGTTGCGGGAGCTTCTTTGGGGAAAAAAAATGTGAGCAGGAATTTGTGTTCTCGCTACGCGAAGTGTAAATGGGGCTTTATGGTTCAACCACTTCCCACTGCACATGCAACCATTGCCAACCCCCATACCCCCCCCCCCCCCCCGGCCTTTTGGGTGGAACTCCAAACGTGATGCGATTCTGATGCGATTGATAATCACGCCAAACTTTTCCGGCGACAAGCTCCATGCAATTTTTAAAGGCAAAGGATCAGGAACTTCTTTCCGGGAGACAAAGCGCATAGGGTGGCCCATTCCAGTGAATTGGCTGCTGTATGCGACATGCAGAATCGCCTGAAAATTGCAGTTTAAAATGGGACCTTTTATAGGTTAACTCCTTCCCGTTGAACATATGGCCATCCCCACCCCCCCAGCCTTTTGAATGGATTGCCATCTTCTCTTAAACATGTGATCTCTGTGATTGGCTGTTGGGCCCCTTTCAGAAGGGTGGCAAAGGGGCAGTAAAAAAATCAGGCGGTTGATCCCCATTTCAGTTGCCCACCTAAAGCTCACCAGGGCAGCCGGAGAGACTGGTACACATGTGTGACTTTGCAAGGTTCATAGGTGGCACCTCCCGTCAATCTCGCCCATTGAAGACAATTGGATTGCACTGCTTGTGGTGCAATATTTCAATACAAAACCCTTCTCGGGATTGAAAAAAAAAATAAAAGAACAGCCAAAAAAAACCACTTTGATCTGGTGGCTGAAAAATGCACCTGGAAACCACTGGTAGAGACTGCCACGCGGTGTGAGAATTGGCCTACCAGTGATCATAGGATCAGGTGCTTGTCCCACCACCTCCCAAATGTTGCTAGGTCACCCTGAGCTGTCAGTGACAGCGCGGTCACAGGGGGCACCTGATTGTACAAGCTCCCAGTACAAAAGAGTTACACATATATGTGACAGCATGGTGTGATGGCCCAACGCCGCGCGCTGCCATGTATATGTATACAGCCGGTGGGAAGGGGTTAATGGGTTGGGTGGAGGAGAGGGTTAATGGGTTTGGGTGGAGGAGAGGGTTAATGGGTTTAGGTGGAGGAGATTATTCCATTTCTAATTTGAGATATTTTCTGCCAATGAGCATCTGTATAATGCCAGGAGTGGAAAGAAAGAATAGGCTTGGATGCCGATTATAGAACATGCACTGAAGGAGAAATAAACTCAGAATGATCAAGCTGCATGTGACCTGAAACCAGCATTCCCCTCCTCATGCATTCTCTATCATCCAGCAATGTCGTCCCTCCTCTCCCCTCCCCCTACCTCTGTTATATCGTATAACCGGATCATGAACCGTTAACCTCCTTCTCACCCACTATTGGCTGTTTTTCTTTGCCACTGATTTGCTTGTGATGATGTAACACTTGCGTTGTTTCTTTCAGTATTTCATCTTTTTGCTGATCATACTGATTGCCCAGGTGGCTGTTGGCGTCTTCATTTACTTCCAGAGAGATCAGGTAAGCAAACTATAAAAGAATAATAAATATTAACTGCTTTCAGTCCTGCAGCTCTTTAATACCCTTCCCATCCAAGGACCTTCCGGTACGTTCTATGGACTGGGAGTGGTTACAGTATCACTGTGCAAATGCTTAAAGAATTAAGTATTGGTTTCCTTTGAGGATTCTGTATCCAAATCAGTAATCGAGCGTGAAACAACTCCTACATTTTGCCTCTGTGCGGGAGTTCCCTTTAACCACTCTGGAAGATTTTACCCCCTTTATAACTAGGCCATTTTTTGCTATTCAGCACTAATTTAACTGGTAATTGCTCAGTCATGCAACACTATACCCAAATAAAATTTATATATTTTTTTTTTTCTTCACACAAATAGAGCTTTCTTTTGGTGGTATTTGATCACCACTTTTTTTTTTTTTTTTTTTTTATTAAGAAGTGAAAAAAGACCAATATTTTTTGGGAAAAAAAACTATATTTTCTACTTTCTGCTATTAAACAATTATAAATTTACACCAAAATGTATACTGCTACATTCACCAACTTGTCACTCCAACACTGCCTTCAAAGACCCATCGACCCCTGTCGGCTGCCACGACAAAACGCACAAACACTTCCGGACACAACAGTTGTCCTGAACACTGACAAACACAATGAACCCACATAAAACAAACACCACGAACAACAAACCAACACCAGGACAAAAACAAGGACAAAACTATAACCAACACAACAAAAACAGAATACAAAAACAACTCCAGGCCGGGAGAAACCACCTCCGTGATGGCACAAGCTCCGACTGACTCCGACAAGACCCAACCCCACTTTTCAATTCCTGCAAGACCACCCCACTCTGATGCTACTCCAATCAAGTAAGTAACCACCCCCACCCCCCCCCTAATCTTTTGCTTAGACTCCCACCCAAATTACACTCTCCGCCTCGTCTGCACGCCCTCATGCTGGCCCTCCCTTATAGCTTCGCTCAGTCCAGGCCACTTGACTTTGATAGAAAAAAATTCCCAATAAGGGTTTGTTAATTGGTTTGTGTAAAGATATAGCGTCTAAATACTATGGTATGCTGGCATTTTCTATATTTTTTTTTAAATTATTATTATTATTATTATAATACAGGATTTACATTTTTGGTGTAAATCATAAATTTACATCAAAATGTATTCTGCTACATGACTTGACTTTGGTCGAAAAAAATTCCCAATAAGCGTATGTTAATTGGTTTGTGTAAAGATATAGCGTCTAAATACTATGGTATGCTGGCATTTTCTATATTTTTTTTTTTTATTATTATTATTATACATGGATTTACATTTTGGTGTAAATCATAAATTTACATCAAAATCTATTCTGCTACATGACTTTGGTCGAAAAAAATTCCCAATTAGCGTATGTTAATTGGTTTGGGTAGAGTTAATAGCGTCCAAATACTATGGTATGCTGGCATTTTCTATATTTTTTTTTTTTATTATTTTTATACATGATTTACATTTTGGTGTAAATCATAAATTTACACAAAAATGTATTCTGCTACAAAACTTTGGTACAAAAAAAATTCCCAATAAGCGCATGTTAGTTGGTTTTTGTAAAGATTATAGCGCCTAAACACTATGGTATGCTGGCATTTCTATATTTTTTTTTTTTTTTTATTATTATTTTTATTATTATTATACATGATTTACATTTTGGTGTAATCATCATAAATTTACACCAAAAATGTATTCTGCTACAAACTTTGGTACAAAAAAAATTCCCAATAAGCGCATGTTAGTTGGTTTGTGTAAAGATATAGCGCCTAAACACTATGGTATGCTGGCATTTCTATATTTTTTATTTTTTTTTTATTATTATTATTATTATACAGGATTTACATTTTGGTGTAAATCATAAATTTACACCAAAATGTATTCTGCTATATGACTGGTAGAAAAAAATTCCCAATAAGCGTTTGTTAATTGGTTTGTGTAGAGTTATAGCGTCTAAATACTATGGTATGCTGGCATTTCTATATTTTTTTTTTTTTTAATTATTATTATTATTATTATACAGGATTTACATTTTGGTGTAAATCATAAATTTACATCAAAATGTATTCTGCTACATGACTTTGGTCGAAAAAAATTCCCAATAAGCGCATGTTAATTGGTTTGTGTAAAGATATAGTGTCTAAATACTATGGTATGCTGGCATTTTCTATATTTTTTTTTTATTATTATACATGATTTACATTTTGGTGTAAATCATAAATTTACACCAAAATCTATTCTGCTACATGACTTTGGTCGAAAAAAATTCCCAATTAGCGTATGTTAATTGGTTTGGGTAGAGTTATAGCGTCCAAATACTATGGTATGCTGGCATTTTCTATATTTGTTTTTTTTTAATTATTTTTATACATGATTTACATTTTGGTGTAAATCATAAATTTACACAAAAATGTATTCTGCTACAAAACTTTGGTACAAAAAAAATTCCCAATAAGCGCATGTTAGTTGGTTTTGTAAAGATATAGCGCCTAAACACTATGGTATGCTGGCATTTCTATATTTTTAATTTTTTTTTTTATTATTATTATTATTATTATTATACAGGATTTAGATTTTGGTGTAAATCATAAATTTACACCAAAATGTATTCTGCTATATGACTGGTAGAAAAAAAAATTACCAATAAGCGTTTGTTAATTGGTTTGTGTAGAGTTATAGCGTCTAAATACTATGGTATGCTGGCATTTCTATATTTTTTATTTTTTTTTTTATTATTATTATACAGGATTTACATTTTGGTGTAAATCATAAATTTACACCAAAATGTATACTGCTACATGACTTTGGTAGAAAAAAATTCCCAATAAGCGCATGTTAATTGGTTTGTGTAACGTTATAGCGTCTAAATACTATGGTATGCTGGCATTTCTATATTTTTAATTTTTTTTAATTATTATTATTATTATACAGGATTTATATAGCGCCAACAGTTTGCTCAGCGCGCTTTACAATATACAGGGAGACAATACAGCAACAATACAGTTCAATACAAGAGGGTTAGAGGGCCCTGATCCTGGGAGCTTACAATCTAAGAGGGAGGGGCTAGTGGTACAAAAGGTAAAAACTGTGGGGGATGGACTGGTAGGAGGAGTAGAAGATTCTGGTATTAGCTGAAGGCAGGATAGGCTTCCTGAAGAGAGGTTTTCAGAGATCGCCTAAAAGTGGGCAGAGTAGGCGATAGTCTGATAAATTGGGGTAGAGAGTTCCAGAGAATGGGGGAAGCTCTGGAGAAGTCCTGGAGATGAGCATGGGAGAAGGAGACAAGGGAGCTAGAGAGCAGGAGAGAGCTAGTAATAGCGGTGATCAGCAGCTGTTATAGTGTGGCAGGCGCTCTGATGCTGGGTCGGAACTGACTAAATGACGCTGACATCTTCAGTGACACTGTCAATACTATGCACTGTCACTGTGCTAAGGACATTGGTTGGCAAGGGGTTAACATTTAGGGTCAATCAAAGGGTTAACTGTGTGCCTAACAATGTTAACTGTGTACTGTGTTCTGTTTATACTAAGCAATGTGCTGGTTTGTATTCCCTGCTTTGCAAGGAGAAAAAAATGGCACATTGCTGCTGCCTGTAGAGAGCCCAGTTTTGTTGTGTACCTACACAGGGCTCTCTTCTATCATTCATTCAGCCAATCCTGGCCATAAATTGATTGGCTTGTGCTGTAATGAATGATAGCACAGCCGGGGCGCTGGACGCACGTACCCTGTACCTGGGAGAGCCAGATCACGCACATAAACATGATCCAGCACAGGGGCATATATCTACAGTATTAGGTGGTCCCTAACTAGCTAATATTGACTGGTCACTGCTTCTCCCTCTCCTTGTATAGGGTGACTGGTCTGGTCTCCACCCCCTCCGGTAGTTTTCTGTAGGTGGCCTGTAGTGGGTGGGGCCTACCACAGCTTTGCTTTCTGCACAGACTGCGCATCCCATGATGATGTAAGCACCACTTTTACAAAATAATATCTGGGTTTGCAATGGCATTTGGTGCACACAAAGTGGATTTATATCCTTATGGCAATTTAGACATAAATATATTGAAATTGACATTCTTGTCCCCGAAGTTCTACTTTAAATCCTGGTTGTGACAATATCCCGCACTTTGCTAGTTCATTTCTACTTTTAGCAGAAAATACCTAAAAGTTTTCGGAAAAACTCCTGCTAGAGACAGCAGATTAATGTCCTTGTTTATTGCAGCGGCTTCCTCCACCAAAACAATAGGTGGTATATATACGATGTCAAGAGTTCTTTGTACTATGATATGATCTCATGGGACCTGCCATTGTCAGAGCGAGAGGGGAAGCTGCCTGTAGTAGACTGTAAAATAGGAACAGGATCATTTTGCGTTTCTTTTTTTGTTTGTGTGGATTATCATGTGGGTCTAAGTCACGTTGGAACTTGATTAACCACTTCCTCACATGATGGCTACAGCGCGGTCGACCAGTTCTGGGAGGGCGTCATGTGACATCCCCCCCAGAAGGGGCCCCCGGCAGTGCGCACCTGGCGCTGTCTTTGATCGCTGTATCCTTTGACACAACTGATCACATGACATGGTAAAAGGCCAATCACAGCGGCCGTTTACCACATTGTCAGCTGTGTCCAATCACAGCTGATCACTGCCTAAATACACTTGCCGGTTATCGGCAGTACTTTCCTTACGCTGTCGCGGTGTGAGGAAAGTACTGCCAATAATTGGCAACTGTCAGAGGAGACATCTGCATTGATAATCAGGGCACTGATTGTCAGTGCAACCCCAAAAGTGCCTAGCAGTGTTGCCAATCTGTGCCCATCAGTGCCACCAGTGCTGTCTATCAGTGCCCATCATGCCGCCTGTCAGTGCCCATCAGTACCGCTTATCAGTGCCTTCTCATCAATACACACCAGTGCCACCTCATCAGTGCAGCCCATCATTGCTGCCTATCAGTGCCCATCATTGCCGCCTGTCAGTGCCCATCAATACCGCTTATCAGTGCCTCCTCATCAATGCCCACCAGTGCCACCTCATCAGTGCAGCCTATCATTGCTGCCTATCAGTGCCCATCATTGCCGCCTGTCAGTGCCCATCAGTACCGCTTTTCAGTGCCTCCTCATCAATACCTACCAGTGCAGCCTGTCAGTGCTTCCTATCCATGCAGCCTCATCAGTGCTCACCAGTGCCGCCTCATCAGTGCCCATCAGTACCGCTTATCAGTGCCTCCTTAACAATACCCACCAGTGCCACCTCATCAGTGCAGCCTATCATTGCCGCCTATCAGTGCCCATCATTACCGCCTGTCAGTGCCTCCTCATCAATACCCACCAGTGCCACCTCATCAGTGCAGCCTATCATTGCCGCCTATCAGTGCCCATCATTACCGCCTGTCAGTGCCCATCAGTGCCTCCTCATCAATACCCACCAGTGCCACCTCATCAGTGCAGCCTATCATTGCTGCCTCTCAGTGCCCATCATTGCCGCCTGTCAGTGCCCATCAGTGCCTCCTCATCAATGCCCACCAGTGCAGCCTGTCAGTGCTTCCTATCCATGCAGCCTCATCAGTGCTCACCAGTGCCGCCTCATCAGTGCCCATCAGCGTTGCCTATCATTGCCGCCTCATCAACGCACATCAGTTAAGGAGAAAAAAATTGCCTGTTTGCAAAATTTTATAAAAGAAACAAAACTTTTTTTTTTCTCAACATTTTCAGATTTTTTCATTTATAGTGCAAAAAATGAAACCCCCAGCGGTGATTAAATACCACCAAAGTAAAGCTTGATTTGTGTGAAAAAAAAAAAAAAAAAAGGATAAAAATTTCCTATGGGTACGGTGTTGCATGACCGTGCAATTGTCATTCAAAGTGCGACAGTGCTGAAAGCTGAAAATTGGCCTGGGCAGGAAGGGGGTGAAAGTGCCCGGTAGGCGAGGGGTTAATAAACTCAGAGTAAAGCACACATTCAGCGTGAACCTATCACTCTACAGAAGCTGTTTAAAGGTTTAGTCCACCTTTTGCACCATGTATTTTGTTACACCCATATTTAAGGTGTAACATGGTTGCATACCCCAAATCTACACCCTTTCCTGAATCACAGGGTGCGTCTGCATTGAAGAATCCTGTTCTATTTGTAACAGCATAGCCTGCGTCATCAAGGTCCAGGATCTGTCTATGGCGAATACTACATGTCCCATGTGCCACCATAACAAACAGACTCAGTAGAGTGCGCCAACTACAGGGCAGTGACGTTACTGCATTCATAGTCCAGCCACACTGCCTCCAGTCCCATTACATAGGATCTATACCTGGACCTGGGGCTGGGAGTAAACACTGCAAGATCCTGTGCGCTGCAACTGATTGAAGAAGACTTCTCTAGAACATTGCACCCACAAACTCTGGCTTGCAGGACAGGTACCCCCTGCTTGCCTTTATCCAGCCCTTGGGGTACTATTACGGTCACCGATGCGATACAAGGCACCATTTCTTTCACTGACAGCAAAGATGGGGCTCTATTCTTCGATGGGATGCTATTCCTTCCACTACCACAAATGATGGGGCACTAATCCTCCCTCTGACACCAATGATGAGGCACTATTCTTTCCATTGACACCATAGACGGGGCACCAGTCTTTGCACTGACACCAAAGTTGGGGCACTATACCTTCCATTGACATCAACAATAGGGCAATATTCCCCCCTTTGACACCAATAATGGGTCAATATACCTTCTATTGACACCAATGATGGGGCACCATTCCTCTCACTAACACCAATGACGGGGCACTGTGTCTTCCCTTGACACACTAACAATGGGGCACCATTCCAACCACTGACACCAATGATGGGGCACTATTCCTCCCTCTGACACTGATAGGGCATATCCCTGCCACTGACCGCAACGATGAGGAACTATTCCTCTCACCAACACCAAAGATGGGCCACTATTCCTCCCACTGACACCAATGACGGGGCAATATTTCTTCCACTGACAACAATGATGGAGCACTATGATGGGACACTATTCATCCCTCTGACACCAATGATAGGGCATATCCCTGCCACTGACAGCAACAATGAGGAACTATTCCTCCCCCAACACCGAAGATGGGCCACTATTCCTCCCCCTGACACCAATGATGGGCCACTATTCCTCCCCCTGACACCAATGATAGGGCATTATTTCTTCCACTGACACCAATGATGGGGCACTATTCCTCCCACTGACACCAATGATGGGCATTATTTCTTCCACTGACACCAATGATGGGGCGCTATTCTTCCCACTGACACCAGTGATGGGGCACTATTCCTCCCACTGACACCAATGATGGGGCACTATTCCTTCCACTGACACCATTGATGGGCATTATGTCTTCCACTGACACCAGTGATGGGGCGCTATTCCTTCCACTGACACCATTGATGGGCATTGTGTCTTCCACTGACACCAGTGATGGGGCGCTATTCCTCCCACTGACACCAGTGATGGGGCATTATTCCTCCACTGACACCAGTGATGGGACACTTCCTCCCACTGACACCAGTGATGGGGCACTATTCCTCCCACTGACACCAGTGATGGGGCACTATTCCTCCCACTGACACCAATGATGGGGCACTATTCCTCCCACTGATACCAATGATGGGGCACTATTCCTTCCACTGACACCAATGATGGGCATTATTTCTTCCACTGACACCAGTGATGGGGCACTAATTCCTCCCAATGACACCAGTGATGGGGTTTCTTCTTACTGATTGCAAGTGCGCTGTAATTTTTTTAGTTTCACTGACGCTGGGGCGTTTTCTACTCACTTTTGCCACAGTCCGACACCCCTAAAGTCTAAAGCATAGTAAACTGGTTCTTTTTTGGGGAAAGTTTGGAGACCCCTGTTTTACAAGCTTCAGTGCAAAAGGATTGATAAGTGCACATTGATTATAAAATCCGTGTTGATGTATTTACTACTTTTTTCTTTTGTACTTTTTTTTTACTTTTTTTTTCTTTTGTAAAAAGTGGACTATCACTTTAAACTACACTCACCAGAAAGACCGCCCCCATAGGGCATTAGAACATGCCTTTATATTTTAGCTTCATTTGTGCCCTAAAGAAAATGTTGACGTCTTCTGTAGAAGAAAATGTGTTTTGGCTCCTTTAGGTTCCGCTTTCTAGCCTTCCCTGTTGGCCGCAGCACATCGTATTGAAGGACCAATAGGGAGACTTGGGGCCGGTAGAGGGTGGGGACAGACTTTTTCAGTTGAAGTCCAGTTTTGCATATAACCTTGGTATGGGACCAGTTTCAGTTTCGGTGTCCTCTTCTACTTGACGACAAATAACAAAAAAAATAATGTTCCTCATTTGCTTTGTCTTTTTCTTTCAGCTTAAAAATGAGATGTCCACCATCATTGACGAGCTGATTGTGACCTACAACCCGGAGGACAATGTGAACAGCAATGCGGAGATCACATGGGACTATATCCAGCACACTGTGAGTGTAGAAGAAGTGCCTCACTGACTGACATTTCCATTAATAGACTAATCTGCTCAGTGTGTCCACATCACTACTGTTATATGGATAATTCAGAGAGGCTGCCTATGGTCTCTTCTCTTGATGCAATGGTGGGACTCTGATGGGTAACCTGATGCAATGGTGGGACTCTGATGGGGGCCCTGATGCAATGATGGGACTCTCATGGGGACCCTGTTGCAATGGTTTGCCTCTGATGGGGACCCTGTTGCAATGGTTTGCCTCTGATGGGGACCCTGTTGCAATGGTTTGACTCTGGTGGGGACCCTGTTGCAATGGTTTGACTCTGATGGGCACCCTATTGCAATGGTTTGACTCTGATGGGGATCCTATTGCAATGGTTTGACTCTGATGGGGATCCTATTGCAATGGTTTGACTCTGATGGGGATCCTATTGCAATGGTTTGACTCTGATGGGGACCCTGTTGCAATGGTTTGACTCTGGTAGGGACCCTGCTGCAATGGTTTGACTCTGGTGGGGACCCTGTCGCAATGGTTTGACTCTGGTGGGGACCCTGATGCAATGCTGGGACTCTGATGGGGACCTTGATGCAATGGTGGGACTCTGATGGGGACCTTGATGCAATGGTGGGACTCTGATGGGGACCTTGATGCAATGGAGGGACTCTGATGGGGACCCTGATGCAATGGTGGGACACAGATGGAGACCCTGATGCAAGAGTGGGACTTTGATGGGGACCCTGATGCAAGAGCGGGACTTTGGTGGGGACTCTGTTGCAATGGCGGGACTCTGATGGGGACCCTGATGCAATGGTTTGCTTCTGATGGGGACCCTGATGCAATGGTTTGCTTCTGATGGGGACCCTGTTGCAATGGTTTGACCCTGGTGGGGACCCTGTTGCAATGGTTTGACTCTGCTGGGGACCCTGATGCATTAGCTGGACTCTGCTGGGTACCCCGATGCAATGATGGGGACCCTGATGCAATGGCGGGACTCTGATGGGGACTGAGATGCATTGGTGGGGCTCTGATGGGGACACTGATGTTAGGTACGGCTCTGATGCAATGGTGGGACTCTGAGGGGAACCCTTATACAAGGGTGGGACTCTGATGTCAACCCTGATGCAAGGAGGGACCTGATGGAGATCCTGTTGCAAATGGGGCTCTGATGAGGACCCTGATGTAATGGGGTTCCATCATACTAAACTCTAAGGCATATTTTGTATTTTGTGTACAGTCCCCCTGTTATGTAAACATTAGGCACAATATATGAATGATTTATTTTACTTTATTAACCATTCTGTTTCTTTTTGATTACAGCTCCAGTGTTGCGGCTGGAAAGGTTACCAGAACTGGACCAAGAACCCGAGCGTGAGCAACCACACGGACACCTTCCCCTGTTCTTGTGTTCAGAATTCCAACAGCTCATACGGTTTCTGTAACGCCACCGCATCAAACTTGTATCAGAGTGTAAGTGACCGCATACTCCTCCTCAAGCAGAGACAGACATGGCAAGCCTGCTGACCACACAACTGCAGAAGGGCTGTTAAGGACTGGGGGCCCATTTAGTCACTAGTTACACCTCTGCAATTTCAGCGTGATTTCATTTGCGATTTCTGAAGACTTTATTGCTGCTTATGAAGATTTTCAACAATTTCTTGCAATTTGCAGTGCGATTACCATTATATTCTATGTACCGTATTTTTCGCTCCATAAGACGCACCTAGGTTTTAGAGGAGAAAAACAAGAAAAAAAAATATTCTGAACCAATGGACTGCAGATACAGTACAGGGGATGACCAGAGACTGCGGACACAGTACAGGAGATGACCAGAGACTGTGGACACAGTACAGGAGATGACCAGAGACTGCGGACAGTACAGGAGATGACCAGAGACTGCGGACAGTACAGGAGATGACCAGAGACTGCGGACACAGTACAGGGAGTGACCAGAGACTGCGGACACAGTACAGGGAGTGACCAGAGACTGCGGACACAGTACAGGAGATGACCAGAGACTGCGGACACAGTACAGGAGATGACCAGAGACTGCAGACACAGTACAGGGAATGACCAGAGACTGCAGACACAGTACAGGAGATGACCAGAGACTGCGGACACAGTACAGGAGATGACCAGAGACTGCAGACAGTACAGGGAATGACCATAGACTGCAGACACAGTACAGGGAATGACCAGAGACTGCAGACACAGTACAGAAGATGACCAGAGACTGCAGACAGTACAGGGAATGACCAGAGACTGCGGACACAGTACAGGAGATGACCAGAGTCTGCAGACACAGTACAGGGGATGACCAGAGACTGCGGACACAGTACAGGGGGATGACCAGAGACTGCGGACACAGTACAGGGGATGACCAGAGACTGCGGACACAGTACAGGGGATGACCAGAGACTGCGGACACAGTACAGGGGATGACCAGAGACTGCGGACACAGTACAGGGAGATGACCAGAGGCTGCGGACACAGTACAGGAGATGACCAGAGACTGCGGACACAGTACAGGAGATGACCAGAGACTGCGGACACAGTACAGGAGATGACCAGAGACTGCGGACACAGTACAGGAGATGACCAGAAACTGCTGCGGACACAGTACAGGAGATGACCAGAGACTGCGGACACAGTACAGGAGATGACCAGAGACTGCGGACACAGTACAGGAGATGACCAGAGACTGCGGACACAGTACAGGAGATGACCAGAGACTGCGGACACAGTACAGGAGATGACCAGAGACTGCGGACACAGTACAGGGGATGACCAGAGACTGCGGACACAGTACAGGGGATGACCAGAGACTGCGGACACAGTACAGGGGATGACCAGAGACTGCGGACACAGTACAGGGGATGACCAGAGACTGCGGACACAGTACAGGGGATGACCAGAGACTGCGGACACAGTACAGGGGATGACCAGAGACTGCGGACACAGTACAGGGGATGACCAGAGACTGCGGACACAGTACAGGGGATGACCAGAGACTGCGGACACAGTACAGGGGATGACCAGAGACTGCGGACACAGTACAGGGGATGACCAGAGACTGCGGACACAGTACAGGGGATGACCAGAGACTGCGGACACAGTACAGGGGATGACCAGAGACTGCGGACACCGTACAGGGAATGACCAGAGACTGCGGACACAGTACAGGAGATGACCAGAGACTGTGGACACAGTGCAGGGGATGACCAGAGACTGCAGACAGTAAAAGAGATTACCAGAGACTGCGGACCTTTGGGGAGGGAGGGGGAATGGGTACCTGAATTTGACAGGTACCCGCTCCCACTTCCGCGGAGTTGTCCTTCCTTCTTCCCGTGGCGGCTTCTGTGACAGCCGGGTGCCCACTGCGCATGCGCGACAAGCGCCGCGCTTTGTGAATGGCCCGGAGCCTTCTGGGACCTGTCATGTGTCCCAGAAGACACCGGACCATTCACAAAGCGCGGCGCTTCTCATTCATGCGCAGTGGGCACCCGGCTGTCACAGAAGCCGCCACGGGAAGACTGGAGCGCTGCAGCGAGGAACAGGTAAGGTCCTGCAGGAGAGAAGAGCTGAGCGGCCGGCCCGATATTCTGACATGGTGGCGGCAGAAATACCGGACCGGCCACTTTACATTCACTCCATAAGACGCACTGACATTTTCCCCCCTTTTTTGGGGGGGAACAAAGTGCGTCTTATGGAGCGAAAAATACGGTATATGAAATCGCAACAAAACCGAAAAATAATGCACAAGCTACTTTAGAAATCACGCTGCAGCAAATCGCACATGTTAAGACCCGGACATTCACATTCGTTAGAATCGATTTCAGGTGCAATTTCAATTTACAAATCACGCCTGAAATCGCACAGGTATGACCGGGCACTTATACTAGATGTGGGATAAATTGGGTGTTGGTATCAGGGGCGGACTGACAACTCATGGGGCCCCCGGGCAATAGGGGATCATGGGGCCCCTGTGTCCTTGCCCAAACTCAAAAAAAGCCTATGAAAAAGGTACCAGGGGCATCTCATGGGGCCCCCTACTGACCCCGGGCCCTCAGGCAGTGCCCGAGTTTACAAATGGTCAGTCCGCCCCTGGTTGGGACCTCACGGTCACATAGATCTGGTCGTGGCTTTTTTCTATATTGCGATCAATTGATACATCAGGAATAATGCTGGATTTACATCTTCTGAATTGCAGTCAAAAACGCACTTGAAGTCACATGCATTGGGTGGAATTTAAAAAAGCAAATACGGCAAGAAACCAGGGTTCCCTGTTTGCTTTTAACACTGATAAACGCAGCAAAATGCAGCAAACCGGCATTTTTGGGGCGTTTATTGAGCAATTTTTTTGTGTGAAAAAAAAGCTAAAAAACACAAGTGTGGAACAGGGGTGGACTGACAACTCATGGGGCCCCCGGGCAATAGGGGATCATGGGGCCCCTGTGTCCTTGCCAAAACTCAAAAAAGCCTAGGAAAAAGGTACCAGGTGCATCTCATGGGGCCCCCCCTACTGACCCCGGGCCCTCAGGCAGTGCCCGAGTTTCCAAATGGTCAGTCTGCCTCTGGTGCGGAAAAATGTGGCTATACGCTAACACAAAAACGCTAAAAAAAATTCTGAAAAATGTGCGTTTTTAACATGACTTTATAGAGTTAACTCTACTGGCATTTTTAAAACGCCCAATGTACATGAGGACTAAATCTGCTAGTACATCGAACACTCCCCTCCCCCCAGACTGGCAATGGTTCTGTCTGCTGTGCCCCCCGTGCTCCTTCATCCAGAGCGGGGGCGCTCTAATACAGGAGGTGTGTTACTGGCCAGATCACCAGGTTAAAATAGAGGGGAAAAAAGCCTAAAAGAAAACTAATGCAGCCTCCACATCTACGTAATGATTGGTAAGCTGCAATATATTACATTTTTGTTTTTTGGGTTCAATACCGCTTTAAGCACAAGCAACTCTGTAGCAGAATCTTTTTTTTCCCCCCCAGCGCTGTTACTTTGTGTTCTGGACAAAGATCCTCCTCCACCTTGTAGATTTATCAGATACACCAAACATTCCAGAAGTTGTTGTTGATCTGTGTAGGTGAAAGCCGTGCCAGATTCTTTTACATAATGCCGGAACACAGTGATAGCGAAACGCGGCCACACCCTGCCCTGTGTCTAAATGTTTCCTTCTCTCCCAGGGCTGCGAGAACCAAGTGGAGAGCTGGCTGAAGGACAACCTGGGGATCATCCTGGGCGTGTGCGTGGCAGTCGCCGTTATTGAGGTAAGGCCAAAATGTCCTAAAGTGAACCCGCGCTCCACGCATTTCAGCACCTGACAATGGGGGGGGAACTGACCGACGACAACTTCTGAAATTTAACCCCTTGGCGCCGACGTCACACAAATATGCGGCCTCCCAGAACTGGGCTTTATTTTCGTGGGGGCCACATATTTGCGTACCTGTGTTGGGAGGCGCAGCTCAAAACCAGCCCCAGTAGTCCAGGGTGTTGTGTATGTGTTGAGTGGTCTAAGCGCTGCTACTGACGCGTTTCGCCCCGCCCATCGGGCTTGGCCTCAGAGGCTTCACAAGGAGACTACGTTGACAATAGCCGCTAGTGAATAGGTAAGTTGTTTGTTTTAGTTGTTTTTTATTTATTTATTTATTTCAGGTACTTATATAGCGCCATCAATTTACACAGCGCTTTACATATATTTGTACATTCACATCAGTCCCTTTAACCCTCAAGGGGCGTACAATCTAAGGTCCCTAACCCTCAAGGGGCGTACAATCTAAGGTCCCCAACCCTCAGGGGCGTACAATCTAAGGTCCCCAACCCTCAAGGGGCGTACAATCTAAGGTCCCCAACCCTCAAGGGGCGTACAATCTAAGGTCCCCAACCCTCAAGGGGCGTACAATCTAAGGTCCCCAACCCTCAAGGGGCGTACAATCTAAGGTCCCTAACCCTCAAGGGGCGTACAATCTAAGGTCCCCAACCCTCAAGGGGCGTACAATCTAAGGTCCCCAACCCTCAAGGGGCGTACAATCTAAGGTCCCCAACCCTCAAGGGGCGTACAATCTAAGGTCCCCAACCCTCAAGGGGCGTACAATCTAAGGTCCCCAACCCTCAAGGGGCGTACAATCTAAGGTCCCCAACCCTCAAGGGGCGTACAATCTAAGGTCCCCAACCCTCAAGGGGCGTAAATCTAAGGTCCCCAACAAGGGGCGTACAATCTAAGGTCCCTAACCCTCAAGGGGCGTACAATCTAAGGTCCCTAACCCTCAAGGGGCGTACAATCTAAGGTCCCCAACCCTCAAGGGGCGTACAATCTAAGGTCCCCAACCCTCAAGGAGTGTACAATCTAAGGTCCCCAACCCTCAAGTGGGAGTGCAATCTAAGGTCCCCGACCCTCAAGGAGCGTATAATCTAAGGTCCCCGACCCTCAAGGGCGTACAATCTAAGGTCCCTAACCCTCAAGGGGCGTACAATCTAAGGTCCCTAACCCTCAAGGGGCGTACAATCTAAGGTCCCTAACCCTCAAGGGGCGTACAATCTAAGGTCCCTAACCCTCAAGGGGCGTACAATCTAAGGTCCCTAACCCTCAAGGGGCGTACAATCTAAGGTCCCTAACCCTCAAGGGGCGTACAATCTAAGGTCCCTAACCCTCAAGGGGCGTACAATCTAAGGTCCCTAACCCTCAAGGGGTGTACAATCTAAGGTCCTTAACTCACATTCATACATACACATACTAGGGCCAATTTAGACAGAGCCAATTAACCTACCAGCATGTCTTTGGAGTGTAGGAGGAAACCGGAGTACCTGGAGGAAACCCACGCAGGCACAGGGAGAACATGCAAACTCCAGATAGGTGGTGCAGTGGTTGGGATTCGAACCAACGACCCGAGTACTGCCAGGTGAAGTGCTAACCATTTAGCCACTGTGCTGCCCATTTTTATGTATTCAATCTAATTCGGGGATCAAATTGTCACACCTTGTATGACTTCAACTTGTGCGCAATTGTATACTCAGCACTGCAACTGCATTGTCACCAACTACCCAGGTCAGGAGGCGGTAGGGCAGGATCATGATCACTGTGATCATTATCTCTTAAAGGGCCGGCTCACACCAGCAAGGAGGGGTTCAAGTCAATGGGATGGACATGAACCTATAGCTCTGCAGTAACTATATAGCACAACCAGGGGCAGACTGACCATTTGGGAACTCGGGCACTGCCCGAGGGCCCGGGTCAGTAGGGGGCCCCATGAGATGCTGTAGGTACCTTTCATAGGCTTTTTTGGGTGTGGTTTAAGTGTGGACAAGGACACAGGGGCCCCATGATCCCGTATTGCCCGGGGGCCCCATGAGTTGTCAGTCCACCCCTGAGCACAACCCCGTGGTTTTATACAAATGGAAGGAATAGTTTAGGGAGGCTTTCACCTTACATAGAGTTAGTAAACGTATTGGACATTCAGCCAAGGGAATTCGATCAGACGGTAGATTGTACAGCCAGCTCTGTTATCTGAACGCTGTTCGGTCTCGGAGCCGGCTGTGCCGAGTTCGTTTTACTCATCCCTTGGCAGAAATCAGTAACTTCAGGGGAACAGGCCAATGAAAAAGCGATTGGTTACGTGTAAGTTACTGCACATGGCATTAGGCGTGTTTGTCTCCTTAAATGCCGCCACGTTTCAGATAATAAATCATGTAGTGCCACCGAGAGGCAGAACGATGCATAGCAGCCTCACTTATCACACCTTCCACCATCTAAGTCAAACCACTTGCCTTCCTGAGCATTTCCCCCCCTTCCTGACCGGGCCATTTTTTTGCGATACGGCGCTGTGTTACTTTGACAATTGCGCGATCATGCAATGCTGCACCCAAATTAAATTTACATCCTTTTTTCCCACAAATAGAGCTTTTGTTCAGTGGTATTTGATCACTGGTGCTTTTTTTTTTTTTTTGCGATATAAACAAAAAAAGACCAACAGTTTTGAGAAAAAAATTATATTTTTGACTTTTTGCTATTAACCCCCCTGGCGGTATTCCCGAGTGTAGCTCGGGGTAAAGTTTCAGTACCACAAGCGGTAACCCCGAGCTACACTCAGGCTTACCATGCGGCACTGCTCCGGGATCTGTTCTTCACTTACCTTGTCCTGCGCTCCCGCGATGTCCCTCCCCCCTGCAGTGTCCCCTGTAATGTCCTCCGGCTGATGCCGGCATCTGTCTTCTGGGTTCCGTCCCTGCAACGTGGGACGTACGGGGGGACGGACCGGCAGGGAAATTTGAAAATGACAAAAAGTGACATTCACTCAATACACCAAAATCACATAGTATAACATTCCTGTATCAAACCATTTCACATACATGTTTGTCCTTCCCCCCCTGGAGTGTGTAATGTTCCGGCAGATGCCGGCAAGTGTAGCTCGGGGTAAATTTTCCTACAAGCTGAGAAACGGGCGTCCAAAAAGCCCCGAGTACAAAGCGGTTTTAGACCGGCTAATAACAGCGATAGTTCAGATCCATCTTGCAGAATCCTCAGTTACCTGATTCGTGGGGCTCCTCATCAGACACTGAAAACGATCCCCCCTGACAGTGTCCCAGGCGAATGTCGAACTTGGCGCTCTATTTCACATTGTCTTCCTGTTTTTGGTTTGCATTATATTATTGAATTAAATTACGGGGATTATTAATTATTGGCGGATTATTTATTAAATTATTTTAAAAGTGACATTCACTAAATACACTAAAATTACTAGTATAACTTCCTCGTACATTTCAAGTTATTTCACATACATTTTGTCCACGAGTGCTTAAAAAAATACATATTTCCTGCCTGCAAAAAAAGTTACTGTTCTTTCTGCCTGGAAAATGAGAAACGTCCACGGCGTCCAAAAATATCCAGTTTAAAAAAAAAAATTTTTTTAGAAATTTAGCTAAAGTTTTCTGCTACAAGTCTTTGCTACAAAAAAAAAACTCCCAATACGTGTGAAAATGAATTCGTTTATGTGAAAGTTATAATTCGTCTCACAGAATGTACTGAATACTGGATTTTTTTTTTAATATTCTCAGTAATGGTGTGCGATTGGCGACTTATAACAAATTTCAGTGTTTTTGGTTTCTGACATATTATTGGGAAACTAAATTTATGTCCCCAGTGACACCATACAGTAATCATGTGATTTATTAAAAAGCATAAACTGTACAATGGCACTTATAAAGGGGTTTGCACAATGTTGGGCCCCTATCAAAGGGTTAACTTTTGGGCTTTCCACTGCTGACAGTCTTTGGCCCCTACGGCTCCCCCTGCTATGCCTCCCAGGATGTTCATACTGCACTCTCAGCTCAGCCCCGGCTCACTGCTTTTGAGCCAATCATCCCCGGAGAGCCACTGGTTGTGGTTGCTGTTTGGAGCGAATGGAGGGAGTTAGTATTGGAGAGCCACTGGGGAAGTTGAGCCACAAGTTTTGGATTTTTTTTTTTCAGTTTTTTCAAGTATTTTGAGGGAACGCATTAAGATGTAAAAAAGAACTTTTGCCATTAAAATCACTTTAATTTTTGCAACCTAACACACATTAAGATAAAGATTCTTACTTTCAAAAAAGTGACAGTTCTTTTCAGCTAAGGCTGGCCATACATTATACAATTTTCTTGAGATTTTTGCTTTAGATTTACCAAAAACCATATAAATAGAGGTGAAACCTAAACAACACTTTTTAATTCTATCCAATTAGGCAGACCCTTGCACTACTATAGAAGATAAATCTAAAGAAAATTGGGCAGAGATTTGTAAGAAAATTGTATAGTGTATGGGCCAGCCTTCGTCCAATGAGATTTGAAGTTTTCAGTCTAATGCAGGCCATAGACGGGTTTATCGGCCGAATTGTCAGCCAAAAAACGAAAAATCGAATTCTGTTGCTTACGAAAATCGGCTGTTTTTTCGTAGATTTTTCAGGATGACCGATAAAAGAAACGAGAAGGAACCGCGAAAATCATCCGATGACATTGCCCACTAATGGTGAGAATATCGGCCGATTATTCTTTCAGACGAAAATTCGGCCGATAAACGACCCGTCTATGGCCTGCATAATACCTAAAATAAAATATCTTTTCCTACTTCTTAGTAAATAGAGCTTTATGTGTTCGCTGCTTTTTACATAATGTGCCTTTTTTTGTAACGGTTTACAAAAACCTCGTAGGAGCTCCTACTCCTCACCTCTCTGCGGCCTGCGACACAGTCGACCACCCCCTCCTCCTCAAAAAAAACTACTCTCTCGGCCTCAGAGATTCTGCTCTCTCCTGGCTCTCATCCTACCTGTCACAATGCTCTTTCAGCGTTACCTATAATGCTACCACCTCCCCCTCACTCCCCCTCTGTGTTGGGGTCCCTCAAGGCTCTGTCCTCGGGCCCCTTTCTTTCTCCATCTACACCTCCTCCCTTGGCCAACTGATACACTCCCACGGCCTTCAACTACCACCTCTATGCCGACGACACGCAAATCTATCTCTTGACCCCCGCCTCACCCCCTTCAGTCTCCACCCGAATCACACACCTACTGAGCGACATATCAGATTGGATGTCACTCCACTTCCTCAAACTGAACCTTTCCAAAACTAAGCTCCTAGTTTTCCCCCCAACCCGCGCCCCCCGACTTCTCCATCACGACCAACAACGCCACCATCAGTCCCACCCCGCAAGCCAGAGTACTAGGTGTCATTCTAGACTCCAATCTGACTTTCCAGCCCCAGGTCCAATCACTGACAAACCATGTAGACTTCACCTCCACAACATCGCCAAAATCCGCACGTTCCTAACCCCAGAAACCACTAAACAGCTCATCCACTCCCTCCTCATATCACGACTTGACTACTGCAACTCCCTCCTCACTGGCCTGCCTCACCACAGGCTATCCCCGCTTCAGTTGATCCTGAATACGGCTGCCAGACTCATTCACCTTACAAACCGCTCCATTTCCGCCACCCCCCTTTGCCAATCCCTCCACTGGCTTCCGATTGCCCAACGGATCAAATTCAAAATCCTAACACTGACGTACAAAGCTGTCCACCATACTGCCCCGAACTACATCACTGACCTAATATCCAAGTACCGCCCAACAGGCACACTCCGCTCCTCACAAGACCTCCTTCTCTCTAGTTCCCTGGTCTCCTCCTCCCATGCCCGCCTACAGGACTTCTCCAGGGTGTCACCCATCCTCTGGAACTCCCTACCCCAATCCATCCGACTATCGCCTACTCTCTTCTCCTTTAGGTGCACCCTGAAAACCCATCTCTTCAGGGAAGCCTACCCCACCCCCTGCTAATTTCCGATCTCCTCCACTCTTCCTACCACTCCATCCCCCACAGCTATTCCTCCCGTACTACTATCCTCCCTCTCCTAGATTGTAAGCTCCAAGGAGCAGGGCCCTCGAACCCCTCGTGTATCGCATTGTATTGTTATTGTTCTGTCTCATGTATTGTCTCCCATTATATTGTAAAGCGCTGAGCGAACTTTTGGCGCTGTATAAATACTGTATAATAATAATTGGTGCTTGGAGTCTAATCCTGCGTTCTTTTTCTTTCCTGCAGCTTATGGGCTTGATCCTTTCCATGTGCCTCTGCCGAAAAATTCAAAATGAAGATTACACCAAAGTACCAAAATACTGATCGGCCAATAAGTCTCCTACCCACTCTGAAAAACGTGGGGAAAAAATGACACGCGAATAAGCCCAGCCGCCATTTTGAAAATGCATTGCCTTCCCTCAAACATTGGTCCCGTCTGTGTGTATATATATATATGTATAGCTCACGTATGATTTACCTGTCAGAATGCACTCTTAGAGGGGATGTCATTGTGAAGCGCTTAACCCTTCACTGACCTGACGGACATTTTTTTGTTGTTGTTGCGATCAGGTTGAATTTCACCTGAGCAGAAAAAAAAATCGGAAATTTTTGCAAAATTGCTGACTTAGTTTAGTTTTTTTTTTTTGTTTTGTTTTTTTGTGTGTAAAGGAAGTTTAGTATTAAGATGAATATGTTAAAATAAGCAAACGGAAGCGTCAGCAGGCTTGGGTGATCCACAAGCAATCGGCTGGAACTACAAGTCCCAAAACGGCTCACAGGGGCTTGTCGTTCCTCGGATTGAGAGACTTAGAGCCAGAAGATATAAACTGGTAATCAGCCGTCACGGTAGGGTTGTATCTGTATCTGCGGAAATAACCCCTGAGGACATCTTGAAACTTAAACCTCTTCACGCCGGCCGCACACAAATGTGCAGCCTCCCGGCGTCTGGGCCTAGACGCCGAGCGGCCCGCACATTTGCGCTCTATTAAAAAAGGATATATGTGTCGCGCTCCCAGCACACGTGTCCGGTACTCACGGAAAGGTTCCGATCTCCTCTTTCAATCGGAACCTTTCCCGATCATGTCACGGCGGTCAGGTCCCTAAACCCCGCCCTGGCATCTGGAACCCTTAAAGGGCCGGGAGGTGCCGGCGTGAAGGGGTTAAGGGGTATATTTATAAAAAAATGTTATATAGCTGCCCATAAATCAGAACGAATTATAATTTCGCTCTGTGCAATTGGGCCAGATTTGATTGTTCTCCGGCTTTATTCTCTGCATATCGAATGTTTGAACAGGAACCACATTATATCTGCTAGGTGATGCTGTGGAGCACACTTACTTCCTATGATAGTCAGCACCATCTAGTGGCCATATTGTAGTATTTTCCCCATTCACACATTCAATCTGCATGAGAATGTTCGATTTTGCCCCAATTCATAGAGGAGGAATTTGCATACTGTTGCGATGTTCAAACAGCATTTTTTTTTTTAATAAATGCGCCCTCAAGGTTTCTGCATGTGTTCAGGACGATACCAGTCATTGCAGCCTAAGCCAAATGTGAACACGCCAAATTCGCTGTCAGTCACAATCTGTTCTAGAAGTTACGTTTTTAGCACAGAAACCTCTAGTGCCAACATTTAATAGGAATTCCAAGCAGACCCAGTCGCGCTTTATTTATTTTAGTTGGCTTTTTTGTTGAAAGGATCGGTCCACCCAAATGCATTTTTTTTTTTTTGGGCGTGGGTCAATTCACCCACTGTCTTCTGGTTGGGGCATGCTAGCTATGGGATCTCCCTGCCATGGTTTCTGGTAATGGCTTGAAGTTCTCCAGTCCACCTTTAAGTATTACTGTTGCTCCCAAGGTTGCCACCATGATCTGTAGTGGGGTGACACAGGCATCTCAGACCCCCCCAACTCACTAACATAGTGTTGATTGATTGGTAGGCCAGGAGGCTCCTGGTCTGTCCTGCCCACCATAACCAAGTACTTTGATTGATAAGCCCAACCAACTTCACACCCATTGCCAGCTACAATTCTCAGTGCATGATGGGGATTGTAGTTTGTTCCTATGGCCATGCACACTGAGAAAGGTGACATTCAGTGGTGTATTTAGGTTTTGTGCTGCCCTAGGCAACACAAAAAGTGTCTGCCCTCCACGGACACCGACCAACACCACCTCCCTTCTCCCTCCCACGCAAGAGCCTGGTATTGCTGATATTAGCCAACAACCCCCCTGCCCCCCACTCGGGAGAGCCTTCCACTACCCCGCCCCTTCCCCAATCATCCAAACTACCCCCCCTGGCGATAGAGAAAAAGACACTCATTGTCACAGCTCCAGACATCTCCAGGAACAACAGTCAGGCTCTACACACACCATCAAGCAGCTCGGATCCCACCTGGTTCCCATAGCGTGCGTGACCCTTCTTTCATCCCTTCTTCTGGGGGAAGGTGCTGCCCCCCTGAAAACTGCCGCCCTAGGCAAGTGCCTTTGGTAAATACACCCCTGCATACACCATCAAGCAGCTCGCAGCCTCTCTCAGATCCCACCTGGTTCCCATAGCACGCGTGACCCTTCTTTCATCCCTTCTTCTGGGGGGAGGTGCTGCCCCCGTGAAAACTGCCACCCTAGGCAAGTGCTTTGTGGTAAATACACCCCTGCATCACCATCAAGCAGCTCGCAGCCTCTCTCGGATCCCACCTGGTTCCCATAGCACGCGTGTCCCTTCTTTCATCCCTTCTTCATGGGGGGAGGTGCTGCCCCCCTGAAAACTGCCGCACTAGGCAAGTGCCTTGTGGTAAATACACCCCTGCATACACCATCAAGCAGCTCACAGACTCTCTCGGATCCCACCTGGTTCCCATAGCACACGTGTCCCTTCTTTCATCCCTTCTTCTGGGGGGGAGGTGCTGCCCCCCTGAAAACTGCCGCCCTAGGCAAGTGCCTGGTTTGCCTTGTGGTAAATAAACCCCCGGTGACATTGGCAATTTTCTAATATCAGTACTTGGCCATAGCTGCTTTTTCTATTTCAAAGAGTTGACGTCATTGCCTTCAGAAGGGTAAACTAGGTTGAAAAAAAAAAAATCATATTTGTAATGTGTGGGGACTGGGGAGTATAGGTCAAAACTGGAAACCAGTCCAGAGTTCAGCTTTATTAATAAAATACCCTGAACATGCACTAGGGAGCGTATGAACCCATCGTCAAAGTTACAGCAATAATGGGGAATCCGGAACTCAAACTCACCATTGGCGCCCCCTAAAGACATAAAAAGGTGCAGCAGCTATCAAAAATGATGTATGACTTTTAGATGGACGAATCCATTCAAGGACTGTATCTCCTTCATACATAGTGCTACTGGACACAGTGTGCAGAAGTGTTCTCTGTTAGGACAGTTGACAAGTGCTTATTAAACTTTGTTGAGAGCTGGCCTCACCGAAAACATCAGAATGATCAGACTTGCGTATGACACTGAGCAAAGCGTCGCTGAGTACTGACTGCTGCTTCACCAGTGTGAACGGTTGTACAGGGCAAACTTTTGCATACTGAACCTGGCAGCAGAAAGCATGGAGTCACTCGGGACCCCCCTAGGCAGTGTCAGGCACCCATAGATAAAAGCCCTAAGCCTGCTGGGCAGCAAGATTTCATTTTGGTTATGACTGCTTTGTATAGAGTTATGTAAAAAAAAAACAAAAGAGCAAAGCTATCTAAATAGATCATTTTATTTCTGTATAAAAAAATATTAGTTGTAAATAAATGTGTAGTATTCAGTGCTGTTGTCTGTGCTCACTTGTCTTTGTGGCTTCTACTGGCCGTATACCTTATATATCCTGGGGGGGGAACCATATACCTTCTACATGCTGGTGGAGAGCCGTATACCTTCTACGTCCTGGAGGGGCAGCCGTATACCTTCTACGTCCTGGAGGGGCAGCCGTATACCTTCTACGTCCTGGTGGGGAGCCGTATACCTTCTACATCCTGGGGGGGGGAACCATATACCTTCTACATGCTGGTGGAGAGCTGTATACCTTCTACATCCTGGGGGGGAGCCGTATACCTTCTACATCCTGGGGGGGGGGAACCATATACCTTCTACATCCTGGTGGGGAGCCGTATACCTTCTACGTCCTGGAGGGGAGCCGTATACCTTCTACATCCTGGGGGGGAGCCGTATACCTTCTACATCCTGGGGGGGAGCCGTATACCTTCTACATCCTGGGGGGGAACCATATACCTTCTACATGCTGGTGGAGAGCTGTATACCTTCTACATCCTGAGGGGGCAGCCATATACCTTGTACATCCTGGGGCGCCCATATACCCTATACATCCTGGGGGGGGCCATATACCTTATACATCCTGGGGGGGCCATATACCTTATACATCCTGGGGGGGCCGTATACCTTATACATCCTGGGGGGGGCCATATACCTTATACATCCTGGGGGGGGCCATATACCTTATACATCCTGGGGGCGGCCGTATACCTTATACATCCTGGGGGGGCGGCCGTATACCTTATACATCCCGGGGGGGGGGGGCAGCCGTATACCTTATACATCCTGGGGGGGCAGCCGTATACCTTATACATCCTGGGGGGGCGGCCGTATACCTTATACATCCTGGGGGGGAGCCATATACCTTATGCATCCTGGGGGGAGAGAGCCCGTATACCTTATACGTCCTGGGGGGAGCCGTATACCTTGTACATCCTGGGGCGCACCATATACCCTATACATCCTGGGGGGGGCCATATACCTTATACATCCTGGGGGTGGCCGTATACCTTATACATCCTGGGGGGGCGGTCGTATACCTTATACATCCCGGGGGGGGGGGCAGCCGTATACCTTATACATCCTGGGGGGGCAGCCGTATACCTTATAGATCCTGGGGGGGCGGCCGTATACCTTATACATCCTAGGGAAGGGCCTTATACATCCTGGGGGGGAGCCATATACCTTATGCATCCTGGGGGAGAGCCCGTATACCTTATACGTCCTGGGGGGGAGCCATATACCTTGTACATCCTGGGGGGAGCCGTATACCTTATGCATCCTGGGGGAGAGCCGTATACCTTATATGTGCTGGGGGGGGGAGCCGTATACCTTATACATCCTGGGGGGGCCGTATACCTTATACATCCTGGGGGAGGGGCCGTATACCTTATACATCCTGGGGGAGGGCCGTATACCTTCTACGTCCTGGGGGGGGGCCGTATACCTTATACATCCTGGGGAGGGGAGCCGTATACATCCTGGGGGAGGGTCGTATACCTTCTATGTCCTGGGGGACGTATATACTGCTCAAAAAAAATTAAAGGAAGACTT